ATCAATTTAAAACTACGTTAATGAAATTAATAAGTTGTGACATTTTATGAATTGTTATTAAATCAGTATAATAAATTCAAATTAAGAGTTTTATTCATTTAATTGGTAACTAATTGTATAGTTTTCTTTCTATATTATATAATTTTGGAATGTAGTTTTGGAAATGTTGTAGACGTGTAGTAGTTATTGTATGATTTTATGAATCAATTTAAAACTACGTTAATCAAATCAATCAATGATGACATCATAATTATTTCGGTATAATGAGTATAAATTAGAAGTTTAATGGATTAAATCAAACTACAGAATACAATATTATTGATATTATTTATGTAATGTTTAATCAAATATGTGAGTTTCACTGTTAGTTAAATCTTTTAGTTTATGTAATTTTAAAGTTTGAAAGAATATGCCGGAAGTTGGACGGTTCGAAAGTAGCGCAATCTGTTAATTAATTAATGGATTAATTAATCTGAGTAACTGTTATCAATATCAAGGTAGCTTATCAATTGGAGATTATGTAAGAGGATTTCCTAGTTTCGTTTTTTTTCGTATAGTCGCAATTAGTTATTGGGAACGAAAGATTTGAATTACAAATTTCGTTTGTTGTTCAGAAATTCATATTCATAATCCCGATATCTTGTTTACGTAAGATAATGATGGTAGTACTGTTACGCTATCCATTGCCAACGTAACAAGTAGAAAACAAGTACTACCTCCTCCTCCATCCTGCTTCGTCCCACCACCAACTTATTCCTCCTAGTATTGATCTGTCAGATGATACAGAAAAATTAGGGTCAAAAGAGAGTTCGCTGGCGTATATACACAGAGTGTTTGTGTGTGTGTTTTTGTGTATGGGTGTGGAGCAGAAGTTTCGTACAATAACAGGAAAAAGTGAATTACCACGTATTATTAACCGCTATTAGCTGAGGTTAGTGAATCGCCCCCAGAAAAACCGTTCTTCAATTGTTTCTCTCCGCCACCTCCGCAACAAACTGTTGTGTAGATTAGGTTAGGACCGGTTTTCGCAAACCCTCTAATCTCTTTTCCATTGCTTCGCAGACGTCTTCGAACACAACAACAACCACCATGACAACACCAGCAAAGCTGTACGGGAAGGATCTCAGTGAATACGATGAGATCGATGTGGAGGAACTGCTGGCCAAGTTGTCCCCGGAGGAGATCAACATTTTGGCAAAAGAAGTCGATCCAGATGTGAGTTTTGTTTTTTGGGCAGAAAATAGCCATGACATAATCATGCATGTAAATATTATGGTGTCAGCATACACCCAATAATATAATATAATAATAATAAATGATTACACATCACACATTGATGTGTGTTGAGTCACATAAGTAAGCTAATTTATTTTTTCATTGTTCGAATGTCATTTGCAGGATAGCTTCTTGCCCCCATCGCAGAGATGCAGTTACGATTGCGAGAAGGAGGCCACAGGGCCTCTGAACAGGAAACAATTGATCGAGCACATAAACAAGCAGGCAATGGAAACGCCCGACCAGCCAGAGTTGAAACCCTTTGTTGCTGGCACAGTCAGAGGGAAAAAAGTATGTACAACACAGTTCTCTTTACATTAATTAATACTTAAGTTTATTAAGTATATTATAATTGGAAATTAGACTTTTTTTTTAAATGATTAAGAAATTCATGAAAATGAATAATTTTATTAATCAAGTAATAATTTTAACGCAATACACTTATTATTAGTTATGCAAGTCAAATGAAGATATAAATTGTAGAGGAAGAAGCGTTGATGCGTTCGTTGAATGAGGAGCGAAAGTTGTTGGAAGGCGTGAAAATGGAGATGAAAGTGAGAATTGTTGCGAAATTGTAAATTTCTTTGTGCTAATTGAAAAAGGAAAAGACAGCATAAATCTGTTGTTGTTGTTGTTATTGCTAAAATTATGTAACATCTATTTTCAAAATTCTATTATTGTATCGATGAATGGGGAGTTCATTACGCCACAATACACATCGATTTTCCAAAGTGAATACTTTCGTGTTCGTGGTCACTTCAAAATGGTTATTGACCCAAATGTTAATTGTATTATCACAATGTACAACGTAAATCTAAACTAAAGCGATTTAAGCTTATATATCTGATTATATAACATGCGATGTTTTCCTTGTTAGATCAATTTTCCTAAACACAAACAAATATATTTTTTTTAAATTACAAATCATACAAAAAAATTCGTAATCACAAAGCCATTAGATTTACAATGATTAAATTATTCATTTCCATTTATGATTTTATTGCCTGGATCATTAATTTACAATTAAAACTGTAATTAAAAGTTCTTCTATTAATATTATTTGTACACGTTAACGTCTGCAGAGGGGAAAATAGGTTAATGAGAGTGTATACAATGATATTTGCTTAGCTGAAATAGACTTTATGTTAACCGCATTGGCTTTTAAACAAACAGGAATCGTTGTGAGGTCCGATTATTTTCGTGTTCCGAAGCGCAATTGAATTCAACAGATACGTTCGTATAAATATGTGAACGCGCAAATTTGGAATAGAACTACAAATTATAAATAATATTGGCACGGTGAACTTTCTCGATAAATTACAAACATGAAGTCCCATCAGTTTTGAAGCAATCGCTTCAATTTTTAACTTGCAGTTATTTCTTGTAGTAATTATAGAATTATTAGTAATTTAAAAATCAAATTTTAACGAAATTCACTTATTATTTGTTATGCAAGTCAAATGAAGATATAAATTGTAGAGGAAGAAGCGTTGATGCGTTTGTTGAATGAAGAGCGAAAGTTGTTGGAAGGCGTGAAAATGGAGATGAAAGTGAACACGGCGAACTTCCTCGATAAATTACAAACATGAAGTCCCATCAGTTTTTAAAGAAGTAATAGTAGAGTAATTATAGAATTATTAGTAATTTGAAAACCATTGGAAAGTTTGCTAATTTGGTGTGTGTATAGTTTTTTAATTAATCATTGTTTTATAGTGGATACCTCCTCCGCCACCTCTGAAAGAAGTAGAAGCAGGAGAACAGATTGCCATCGATTTGGGCGATGAATATGAGACTGCTCTTAGTGAAGCAACACAAGACGAAATTATTGATTTGGCAGGTAAATTGCGATTTCTTTCAATTACTTTACAAGTATAATAAATTGTTGTTGTTTTAGCCATCCTGGGATTCCATTCTATGATGAACCAAGACCAGTATCACGCTTCATTGTTGAACAAGGGTCAGCCTGTTGGTTTGGGCTGGGACGGTATCACCAAAGCCTCCAAACAGAAGATCTTCCCGATGGATCCGCCCAACAACACAGACCCAGATCAGACGATCAAGCAGGTGCAAGATGACGATCCCAAACTGATCGACCTCAACTGGAACAACATCAAGGTTGGTTTGATCAATCACGCAAATCATGTTTCATTATTATTATTTTAGAACATTTCGGATGAGAAATTCGATAGCTTGTTCGACGCCCTCGTCCAGAACACACACCTCGAGACGTTATCGTTGACGAACGTCGGTTTGACGGACAGACACACAAACAAGCTTGCAGATGCATTAGAGAAGAACAACACGCTCAGAGTGATAAACGTCGAGACGAATTTCATCTCGCCCACGGGCATCGTTCGTCTCGTCAAGTCTATTTTGAAGACGAAATCGGTGGAGGAGTTCAGAGGAACGAATCAGGTATGATCATGACATGATCGAGAATTATTATCGAACTAATTCGCGTTCGCTTTGTTTTATAATAGAGGTCGCAAGTGTTGGGTAACAAGATCGAGATGGAGATCACAGCTTTAGTGGAGAAGAATCCGACCCTCCTCAGGTTGGGCCTGCATTTAGAATACAACGATGCTCGTCATCGCATTGCCACACACCTACAACGCAACATTGACACAAGTAAGTTCGAAACGCAATCATCTATCGATATACACGTAATTTCTTTGCAGAAAGAAACGTTATCTTTCAGAGAAGCGCAACTTCCTTTACCTAGGATACAAACACTTAGTTTTCAAAGATTACCGATGCTTTACATCAAAGTTAATAAGAAAGTATTAACTACAAATAAGTAAGACATACTTTGGATTGGTTTTTGATCTAATTACCAGAAATACAATTGTTAACTATTTCGAATCTATTATAGAAAATCTAGGAAATTGATTGATTTAATTTCGAACTTTTACTAAAAATTATTCGTTAATTTAAATAATTCTTTGAGGATAAAGCATCGGTAATATTTGAATTAAGTGGTGACTTTCAAAATTGATTAATTGCTCCAGTGTTTCTTAATGATCTAGTATTAATTAAATAATGAAACTTTTGATGAAATATTTATAAAAAAAATGCGATAAATTTATACAGCATTGACTTGAGAATAATTGAATCTAATGTTATATTAATATAATGAATCTGTTAAGGTTCAGTGTTAAATATAATAAACCAACGTTATTGAAATTTAAATTAAATATTTAATGGAATGATGCAAACCTCGAAATAACTTGGCAGACTTGAGGATTTAAGAAACACTGAGCGGCGAGAAATGATACACCAAAAAAAAATATATAAATGGTTGCAATGTCGCGGCGTAAATTATTTTGGAAGTCACCTTGGTTTTGGTTATAAGAATACACATATTTGTTATTTTATTCCGTCCGGCGGCGGCGGCGGCGTTAAGTGCGCCCAATTTAATTCCAGCGGAACATTAACATTTCGCTGGTAAAAACGTTAAACTTTCAGGGATATTGCGCAATTGGATTATGTTTTATATATGTGTTTCAACAACCGAATCATTTACTCCCACATTATTATTATTTTTTTTTTTAGTTTTCGATTCTCCTTTATATTTTATTTTGTTGCTCTTGTTAGTTTTATTATTTTCTCTTTATAGGTTTTGCTTTTCTCTCCG